TAATCCTCCTAAAAGCACTTTCATATGCATTATTTCAATTAATCCCGACAAGTCTACAAAACAAGTATCACTGGACTAACTTAGATAAAAACGTCATCATGGGCTCTTATATCTGATTCCCAAGGCTATTATTTTTCTAATGAAAGCACAATACTTTCCTTAGCAGCACTAGCAGATTTGGCGATATTGACGCCACAATATATGTCATGCATCAGTGCTTTCAGAGAAGCAATTTTGGGACCACCGGAATTTTTGGTTCAGTCCAACTCAATACTATTTATTACAACCATGAACTAAGATTAAAAAAAATTCTGGGAGTACACATACATTGTCCGCTCATATGTATATGTCTGTCATGCTAGATAGAACTTTGCTGAAACGTGTGTTTAGTGTATACTAAGTATCCAAAAGACACGCGCACACACAGTCTTTTCCTGTGGAGAATAATCAAGCTGAAGATGTGCTCTTCCTTTAAGATGAAACACAGACTTCTCATTAAAAGTCAAATCTTTCCTTTCAAAATACAGAATAAAATGTTCCTTTTTTAAAACCCCAGATGGCTAAATGTATGCTTTTGAAATTTTTCTGCTTGAGAATATTCTTTTGCCTAATGATTCCCCTGAGACTCTCCTCTCTCTCAGTTCTCATAACAGCCTCTTCGCGTCTTCAAACACTTTGCTACATTGAACAAGGATAGCCATTTCCTTTTTCTTCAAAGTTCCTCTTCCATTGGCTCTTCAACGACTCTCCCTTCTCTCTAATGACTCCCTAAACAGGTCACATTCTAGGACTCCAAATGATTCAGCCCCTGTTTTCTCTCTCTGCTTTTGCACCATCCGCATTATCTTTGAAGACACTAGTGATATAACTTCTAAAAATACCTCTTGGTCATGATGATATTTTCCTGAGTTAGATTTTAGCTTCTCTCTTAATTTTTCTGCTCTTAGACAGGAACTACAAACACAAAGGTGAGTTTTTCCGATACTCTAACCTTTACCTACCACAAGAAAGTAGGCACCACCGTACTTTACGGAGATAACTCATATATAATGACCACAGAACCAGAGAGCTATTTTCAGCAGCAGGATTATCAATAGGATGAAAAATGAAGTGTTTGTGGAGAAGAGAAGATCTAGTCCAGTGTGATAGTAACCTAGTTAAAAATCCTAAAACTTGCAACAAATGAGAGTTCTCTACATACCGTCAGCCTTTTTTCTTCCCCCAAATCATTTTATTATAGGATTTCTACTGAAGACATCAAATGACAGATTCTTGAACAAAAATACAAGAGCTAAGGTGTTGGCATTATGGATGTATTTAATGCACCATATTTGAGCTCAGAGTTTCTAAGAAATGTAAAAATGTCTGACTCTGTCTGTATAAGTGTCTATCTTAGGAAAGTGGTCAGAAATGTCGATGCTCTCAACCATCATTGTGAAATTGTGCAAAGTATTAACCACCATATTGAAAGATCCATAGTTTAGCCTTCTTTGCTCTCACATGTGCTTAGCCTTGACTTAGCCAAAAAAGTGGGCATTTAGCCTCCAAAAACAAGTGGTTGTATTCTGCATATTCTCTTCTCCTCTTGATGACACCCCTGATTGCATCTAACCTGCCAGCAGAACTGGACTGAAAAACAAGAGCTTTCATTTGGCCGCGAGAACAAAGAACAATTGTTTCTCTTAAGCAGTGAAGTTTCTAACGCAGCCAGAGGTTACAGAAAAGAATCCTCATAAGGGAAGGAGAAAAAATCTCCATCGTGTCAGCACTGTCAGTGACCAAAGCCATACTCCAATGTATGACCTATGGCCCTCAAAGCAGAGGAATATTTCTTCCTCTATAAAGTGAGTGTTATTTGATTAAATGAATGTTTCTTTAATAAACAGCATACTAAAGGTCTTTCGAAAAGCTCTGAACAATCCTCTTATCCAGAGCCAAATAACAGATATATTGGCAAAAACAAAACTTTCATCCAAATTAATAATGTCTTTATATATCCCTGTCCAAATCTGCATTGGCTCAAGACTGGGAGGCATTTCCCCAGTAATTGTTCTCTAACCACTGAGTTTTCAAGCAAAGCCAGCATCCTCTGTATTGAAGTTAACAGGTCCTATTTCTGAGGGTGTCTTTGTCTTCCTGGTCATTACCACTATGTGATATTCATTAGTCAGTCACAAAAGAGCAAATTATTTCACATGTCAGTACAAAGGCACTTTGGATCGATTTAAAATTAAAAAGTAAAATATGATGTAACTTCAGTACAGGATATACACCGTCCCCTCCCCACTTTCCTTTTTTATCTTTCCTCTTCGTTCCTTTTTGAAATCTGATTTGTTGGCAGGGATAGACTATGTGCATATTTTGAAAATAGCATTAGTAAAAAGGAACCTCCTAGTGATATTTTAGGAGCTTGAATGAGTTGATCATCTTGGACCATCACCTTTGTGCACCATCCCAGACATAAAATCACTGCTCATTTAGGTCCTAATTGGTATCCATCTTGGTGATGTTGGCGAATTAAGCAAGCAGATCATTCTCTCACCTCTCTCTCTGAGATTTCCCCATATTCCAAGATCCCTGGTAAGGTGGTAAATAAGAACATTTACTGTTTCTTGTAATATATGCCACAATAATTCAAAAAATAAGCACAAAATAAACAGAACAATCCTTTCGTCTTCAAAATGAATTAGTTTCTCTCTGAGAGCAAAATAAAACAAAACTTGGATCCCAGTATCAGCTCTACAACTCAATAAATTTACTTCCTAGACAATCAAGAGCCCAGAACTCTGACTCAGTCAGGATTCTCATATCTAGGATGGGCTTAGAGTGGGGTGACCCTGGTCCACAGTGATTGGCATGGATCAAATAATTTACTGAGGAAAACACAAAAAGATGACCTCAGGAGCCAAGAACAGAGTTAGACATGTCAATTTTTTATAAAAGAGTCCAGCTGTTTAGTAAAAATTAAAATAAAATAATAACAGCTATTGTGTACACATTGCTTACTCTGTTTATTTGTTCCAACCTTATAACAACCTCATGGGGGTTTATTTTGGGGAGTATATTAGGTAGGGTATAAGAGAAGCAGCTGTCAACAAAGAGAATGAAAGTACAATGGCTCAAACAAAGCAAAAGTTGATTTTTCTCTCTCATGTAAAATTCCAGGACAGCTAATCGGCTTTGCTCCCTGAGGTTGTCCAGGGATTCTTTGGCTGGGGCAGCTCTTCCTATCCCAACCCGCGGTCTCCATCTCTGTATCTAAAGTGACTGCTGCAGTTGTCACCACGATCCAGCTAGTGCGAAGCACGAAATAGGAAGTTCAAGGAAAGCAGTGGGCCTCTGAGAAGCACCCAGAAGTTTGCACACATCGCTTCCTGCAAACAAGCAGGATCTGAAGAGATTCACCGAGGTGTCTTTGCATACAGAGTCCTTAGTAACAGGGGTACTTGGCATTGCAATGTATGGAAAATGTATGGTTGAGATGTTTATCTGTGTGATCTTGGGTAAAACATTGACCCTCTCTGGACCTCCATTTCTCTATATGTAAAATTTAAATGTTCAATGATATCATTTCCAAGGATCCCTGCAGCTCTGAAATTTTATGATTATGTTTAAAAACATGTACATGTAACTATAAAACCAATAATGTGTGACAGATTAGGAATTTAGAGGAACCAGATTTTGTCCAATCTGTCGCAAGCTGAGCTTTGGAGAAGCTGCCCCTTTTGTTTCACTACACAAAATGACTTTTATGTAACATTAATCCCATAAAATGCTCTGAGAAAAAAGGGCTCTAGGCATTTTAATTGGAATACTTTGGGTTGTAAGTGGGGAAAACGAAAGAACTAAATTAAGGAAAGAGAAGAATGTTTATAAGGAATATGGAATGTCACATGGAACCTAAGGTCAAGAATATGACTGGACTCAGAAGCAGCTAGGTCCAAGAACGCAAATGCCCTTAGGACTCATTCTCTTTCTCTCCTCCCTGTTTAATTCTTCTCTTTCTTGGTAAAAAACAAACAAACAAACAAACGAAAAAAACAGGCTCCTTTCACTTCTACATGGTGGGAAGAAAGGCTACGAACAGCTCCTGAGTGTTATACTTTACCCACAATTCAGGCAACCAGGCAAAACTGGCCCCACTCTCTTCCAGTTCCAAATTCAAAAATCCTGGGACAAATACTTCTTGGCTCTGCCAGGTCAAGTCCTCCCCAGGCAAAGCAGCAGAAGGCGGAGTCACACTGTAACGTAGCTGCCTCTTTACATGCAAGGTCTTTTTCGTTTTATTCATTTATTCTCGACTTTGATAAGGATGCCTCAAATATCACAAAATTAAGCATATTTTTTTTTTAAGATTTTATCTTTTCCTTTTTCTCCCCAAAGCCCCCCAGTACATAGTTGTATATTCTTCGTTGTGGGTCATTCTAGCTGTAGCATGTGGGACGATGCCTCAGCGTGGTTTGATGAGCAGTGCCATGTCCGTGCCCAGGATTCGAACCAACGAAACACTGGGCCGCCTGCAGCGGAGCGCACAGACTTAACCACTCGGCCATGGGGCCAGGCCCAAAATTAAGCATATTTTTGGCTACTGGTTGGCTATAGTCTTTACCATGCTGAGAAAGTATATTTTTATTCTTAGTTCTTTCTCTAAGAGTTTTCACCATGAACAAATATTAAAATTTTAACAAGCGCTTTTTTTTAGGGACTCAAAAGCAGTCTTAAATAAAGCAGCAGCTGCTGCACATTTTCCCATTATACTATGATTTGTCTTTCGGAATTTTTAAAAAATTTTTAATTTTAAACTTTTTAATTTAGTTTTTTAAATTATTTTATTGAGATCATAGTGGCTTAAACATTGTGTAATTTAAGGTGCACCTTATTATATACCAGTTTCTGTATAGACTGCATCGTGCTCACCATCAATAGTCCAGTTTTTATCTGTCAACATACATATGTGCCCCTTTATCCCTTTCACCCACCCCCTTCCCCTCTGGTAACCACTAATCTGTTCTTGCAAGTAATTCTTGAAGGGAATTCTGGGCCCATAATCTCACAGGGGTGCAATACACAAATTTAGAAAATGCTGCCTTAATACAGACTCTTCTTAGAGAGTCACAAAGTGTATTAGCAAAATTAAAGCTGTAAAAATCTTAAAGTAAACTATTTAAATTCATGTTCCTCAATAAACTTTATAAATTTGAAAAAAATGTTTATATACATATGTATGCATAATACATTTGAATACATAAATACATATAACACATTTGAAAATTCTTCTCTGTAAATTAATCTGTGTCACTTATTCCAACTGACTTTACTCCATAACAGCCACTTTGTAGCTCATTAACATTATCAAATAGCTTGTATGTCTCCATATTAACACTCTGGGTGCCCTGGAAACCCAGTAAGAGATGAGTTTACCCTTTGACTATTTTGAAATCCAGATGAAATAAGATAACACACAGTACTCAGGTTTTTTAGATGTAGCTATATTGTGATAAATAACTAGTTCACAGAAGCAATAAGGTTAAAGAAAGGTATGGGCTCTCCTCTAAATTTTGCTGAAGGAGGACATTTCTTTCATTGGGAATAGCATTAACTGATAAACCAAATCATGATTAAGCATTGTTCTCCCCAAAATAACATGTAGTTTAGCACAGTGTGATAAATGACACATGATTGGTACTTATTCAGTGCTGTAGTATCTTGAAAGAAGAAAGCAGTAATCACTTCTGGTTTGAGCACGAAGGAAAGGCATTAAAAAATGAGTAGGATTTTACTAGGCAAATATTGAAGGTATCTCTATGGTGGAATTCTGAGATGAGGAAAAAGCATGTATAAATGTACAAAAGTGAAAAGCTCAGGACACAACCTGGCAATGCTAAATTACGTAAATAGGTCATAAGCTACAGTACATATCTGAAAATAACAAGAAGTAAGGGGTAAAAAAGGATTATGCCTGAATTTTGGAGGCTCTTGAATGCCAACTTAATGAATTTGGACTTCATTCTATAAGCAGCAGGGAGATTTTGATAGTTTTATGTTCTGTTTTTTTGGTTTGTTTTTTATTTTTGTCAAGGAACTACAAAGTTCAAGATATTGCTTCAAGAAAATTAATGCATCAGTGACGTGCTGGAAAAGGGAGAATGCAGGGGCAAGAGAAGCAGTTAATCTCCTCTTCCTTGATGTGGTAGATGGTATTTTCCAAAGATAGTTACAGCAACATCTCACATCCCCCATGGTCTTCTTACAATGTGACATTGACATTACTCCTATCAACTGTTGGGGTCTCTATCTCCTCCCCTTGAAGCAGAGTGGACTTTTGTGATTGCCTTGACACAGAGTACAGCAGAATTGATGGTATGTGACTTCTAAAACTAGACCATAAAATGCTACGCACTTCTGCATCATTCTCTTAGGATAGTAGCTCTTGAAACCCACTTACCATGCTGTGAAGTCCAAACTAGACCAATAAGAGAGACCATATAGAGAGGCCACAGTATAGGCCTCTCTGTATAGGTTGACAATCCAATGAAGGTCTCAGCCAACAACCAGCATCACCTTCCACACATGTGAGAGTAGATGTCTCCCAATGTTCCCAAACCCTAGCCACAGAATCACCCCAAGTCTTCAAGTCTTCCCAGCTAAGGCTCCAATGTTGTGAATCAGAAATAAACTGAATCTTCTGTACAACTGCTAGGACTAGGTTGTTCCCTGGGGCTAAGTGGACTTCTCAGTGAGGGACAGAGCTGCAAACCATCAGCTTGGGTATCTGGCTGAAGAACTCCAGAATTCACTACAGTCTACCCCTTGCACTGCTCAGTTTTCTCCCTTCTCATAGTAAATTCACCCCATCTGGAAACAGTTTACACCATGTTCTGATTGGTCTTGTTTTCTTGGAAAACTTACAAGAGAAGTGTTAATAGAATGAACTACAGCCCCCACTGTTACAATTCTTGAGGCTGTAACTGTTAATCAGCAACCCCCTCTCCATTGCCCTCTCTAGATTCCTCTTATCTGTGGCTGGTAGCTCTAACTCACGCTAATTCTAATGACAGACAATTCTCTGCTTTCCAAAGAGTGAACACAAGGAAAAAAATTCTCTCCTCTTGCCTCTAAAATTCAGAATGAGATCACATTTGTCCTCCACGTTCCCTGGCCATTTCCATTGAGATAATAGGAGAATGGACTAGGCAGATTAGCTGGAAGAATGACCCAGACCTTCATCTCTGTGAGTCTGAGTCCCTAGTTACCATGATCTCAGCCTAGGGCTGAGGGGCATGCGAGCACCAAGAGATGCCCAAATGCATCACCTAATCCCAAACATATTATTCCAGGCTCACGTTGTCTAGCAGCAGCCCTACCTCTCCCTGATGATTGGGGTCATTTACCTCTGCCAGTGTGATGACTCCATTCTTGCCTATTGCCTCCTTGCCACAAAAAGCCTAAAGTGATCAAAGGGTTTGCAAAGCATTGTGCTTCTTTCTTAGGGGTAGAGAAGATGTAAAGGATCTGTACTTTACTTTGGAGGGGATGTCACAGTTTGACCCAGACCCAAATACCTTTACTAATGTTATAGGTGCTTAAATCTTCCATAGGGTTCATCTCCTCCCTTCTGCCTACCAAGCCTTCCAATGTACTTGTCTTTTCTTGCTCATTTGGTTCAATTACCAAGATATCATCAATATAGTGATCAATAAGACCTAGTTAAGATGTTCTGTGGAATGTCCAGACAGTCCAGATCCTTTGGACTATATTATGACAAAGGGTAGGAGACCTAACATAGCCCTGGGGAAAGATTAGAAAAGTATGCCATTGTCCATGAATGCAACCTGTCTCTGATCTTCCTTCTTAATAAATTTATGACCTTGGGAATGTTTTTGTGCTTCAGTTTTGTCTTCTATAAAATAAGGACTAAACATACTATCTACTTCCTAAGTTGTTATAAGAATTAAAGAAGTTAATAGATATAAAATGTCTAGCATATCTTCTGATAAAGAATAAGCAAGCACTCGCTGAACAGTAACTTTGAAAATTAGCTAATCTCAGACATTGTCAATGTTCTTCATTGTCTTCTACTCATAAATATCTTTGCTTTTTTATTTGCAGACAAATTAAAGAGGTTGATGTCAGTCTAAAGAGAGGTTTTCACTCTATCTGAAGTAAGAAAGATAAAAATCTCTGAACAAAAGGGAGCTATGACTCTCAATAGTCCAAAAAGCCCAAGAGCATATCATATGACCACTCATAACCCATTCTTTCCATCCACCAGTCCACCTTAACTCTTGAACCTTTTGAAGAAACACTTTTCAAAGCCCTAGTAACTACTCACATATATCACATGCAGAGTTTATTGAGAGTTTTATTGCTCAATAGGCATAGTTATACAATCTGCCTCAATCCCAAAATGACTTGATTTAAGAATTCATAATAATACTCCAACAAGGAGGATTTCTTTATTATGTATTTCTTTACCAAATACATTTGGTAAGTTGAGTTTCTAGTTAATACATTACACAGGCCATAGAAATTTAGTGACCAGCTTCTAATACAAGTGCAGCGCATTCGGTCTTCCTCAGATACTAAAACTGCTGAAGTGGAGTCATCTGTTCCGCATCCTCTGGAAGAACATAGAAAAAGTTCACTAAAGTGCCCAATACTTGTTCAGAATAGAAGAGTATCTAAAGGGAAAGTGGTATTATGTGTATTCGGTTAAGTCCCAACTCTACCAGTTAGGTATGAAGTCTGGGAAAGGTAACCCTAATATCTTCAGCTTCCTCAGATGTAAAGTGAGAAGGACATTAATATGGTTGCTTTGATTGAAGGAAATAACTCCTGGAAAGTTACAAAAAATACCTAATGTATAGGAAGTATAATCATAAATGTTAGCTATCATTATGACAGTAAATACTGTTAAAGTTACTGCTTATTTTCCTTTCTACACTTTTAACCTACCTAGATTTTGGGTCTTCAAATGACTACTTTGTTGAAGATCTGTTCGTTTTCTTAGTTTACAGAATTTAACACAACAAATTCCTGCATAAGGAGGAAAAACTTGTTTTTAAAATCCTATTTTATAAACTGAGACAAACATGATACATTTATTTAATGCTTTATTTAAAAGAAAAATAGCACATCACTTCAATTTACACAGAAAACCCATCCGCTCTGCTTATTAAAGATTTTCCCTCTCTGTGTTTCTCCACACAGAAAGCACCACAACTGGACTGCACATTGGCAGAGGTGAAAGAAAGGCTCCCTCGTTCTTATGGGCTTTGCTGTTCCATCCCTGTTTACATTTTTCAAATGCTGGGTCTATAGCTCCTCTGGAGTATTTACCCATCTTTCTTGGGACTAAGTTTGGCCCACCCTGTCTTTACATCATGAGGGCTCCGATGGGAAGTAAGCAACATTAATTCATGTTAATATTAACAACAAACAGACCATCCTCTGCTTTCCAAAGAGTGAACACATGGCACAAACATTCTCTCCTCCTGCCTCTAAAACTCGGAATGAAAGCTTATTTCTCCTCCATATTCCTCTGGCTACTCTATTGAGATGCTATTAGGTGAACTGAACACATTTGTAGAAACTCTAAAACTCAGAAGCAATGTTTTAACTTCCTTTGTAGAGTTCTTGATCTCAGAAGACTTATCTAAAGCTGATACGTACCCGGGAAAAAAATCCATTGTATTTTCTCTTCATGCAAAAAAAAAAAGAAAGAAAGAAAAGAAAAGCAAGCTCTTTAATCTCTTGCCTAGTTCCAATGAAACCTAGCCAAGAAAATACTTCAGTCAGCAAAAATTAGTATGTGAAGGTAGTATACAGAAAAAAATAACCTTGTTTCCAATTCTACTTTTCAAGGTCTGATCGACAATTAGTGGAAAAGTCAGGATTGCTTTATAGGACCTTCTGACTAAAAGGTAAGTTGACTTTTTTTCTTAATAGATCTGGAAAATTTTTTGGAACAAAAATCATTGCTGAGTGAGGAAGTTTTATTAAAATCCTTGAAGAATTTTTCAACTGGGGAAATACTGTGTTCAAGAATAAAGTTTTACTGCATCTATTAAAAATAATAAAACTGGATCTATTAAAAATAATAAAACCAGAGTAAAATGTGGATGTAACACATGCATGGTAAAGTTGCACACTGTAGCATAATCAGGAAGTATTCACTTCATTATTTGATAAGTATATTTTCTTTGTTAAGTTTATCTGAGTGATTTCCTAGTACCAGACTTACACATTGTACATGAATGCTGTGACTAATTCACACATGCACGTCCACTATAACAAAACAAGTATATAAGTATACATGAAGGTTGAATCATTCTAGGACCAATTCATATTTGCCCAATATTTGAGTGTCTATCTAGCGATGGATACTTTAATATTTCTCACATAAATTATCTCATTTAACCTAGGGAGTTAACAGAGGGTTGTGTTTAAGAGCTTGGACTCTAGAACCAGACTACCTGAGGTCATAATGTCAGGCCTGTTATTTACTAGCTGTGTGATCTCGAACACATAAGTTTCTTAACCTCACTGTGCCTCAATTTTCTAATCAAAAATACGGGCACAGTAGTTTTAACTACTTCAGAAGGTGGTGTGGTGATTAAATGCAAATGTACAGATGTAAATTCTCAGAACAGCGTTCAGAAAATATTAGCTATTATTATTCATGAGGTGAATGTTATTTTTGACCTATTAGATAAGGAAATCAAAGCTCAATCACTGACTTGTCAACATTTTCTCAGGTACCTGAAGGAATAAGCATTTTTGTAGTGTCCCATTCAGAGGAATGAGTATCAGATGGCTGCAAACTGACCTCGTTTGGTAATTCACAATTATTGAGTTATTTTGGATGAGTATCGGTAGCTTTAACAGTTCTCCTAATATCTCAGCCTTGATGCTGAGTATAATAATGCTATGAATGAACGTTTCAGACCAAATCCTGCCATGCACACACTTTTAACATTAGGAAGCCACAAAAATACTAATGCAACTAGTTCTACAGGCTCAATGAGGTAGCAGCTCTCTACAGTTTCAGGTATTCAACAGTATCCTTCATAAAAGGTTAATACACAGCAGAAAAGCAACATCCTAGAGGCAGGACTCAGCTACTGCAGTAGGAGTCAGGTGAAAAGAAAAACCCTTGGATGAGTGCACTCACACCAGATGGGTTTGGGGTCCTAAACTGAGAGTCATTCTCAAGGGATATAGGCTATCAAGTCTACTATGTTCTGAAATCCTGCCCATGCAGGAGCCCCAGCCCAATATACCTAGCCAATCACAGATACACATCTTGAATATAACTAATTTTACCAATGAAAAAACATTTCTACATCCAGTGCTCTCATTACCGTGGCATCTGGTGGAGTTCTGAGATGAAGAGAGCTGAAAGCTTGGATTAGACACTTCCAAAGTGTGAGGATGCAGTTACAGCTTTTCAAGTGCTGGCCAAACCCTCACCCCCCGCTCCCGGCCCAGCATGCATATTCTGTATTAGGTCATTTTAAATTTTAACTACCCGCATTCCACCTCCACTATACAGATTAAAACTGACCACACACATACACACAACACTGCTTATGATAAAGTGTTTAAATTATGAACAATAAAACATATTATTCTTTAATTCTCTAGAAACTTCTTCTAAACTGACCTCTTGAGAGTTTACCAGCCTGTTTTGTTTGACATAGCCACTACTACACAGATCTTCAAATTCCTGACTTCTATTTAGGCAGTATTCTTGTGCCTGATATTAGTTCCAGTCAACACTCAAACAATTATTCTATCAGATGTTAGTATTAGACATTACCAAAATGCACGGCCTGCTCTTCCCTCTCTCTGTCTCCTAACACTATATATATTTATTATTTCACCTCACTGAGACCTAAAGTCTCTGACCCCATTTCCTACCTTCTCCTAGACAGTAGGAAAGTGATGGAGCATGTGGAAGCTAGAAAAGGAATAACCCCAACTGAAGGTACTCGAAATAAAAATTGTTGAAAAACACTATCCATATTTTTCCCCCAGATCCCCCACCACCACTCTTAACCCTACTATGATCTCTCATGCAAACTGCCCTAACAAACATAAATGGCTTCAATTCAATTGGCATTCTTTCACTTATACTCTCTTGCAACTATTTCCTCCTTTTGGGTTCTCTGACTCTACTCTTTCATGGATATCTGCTGTCTTCTATGGCCATCATTCTCATTAGTGCCCATTAATACTTGTATTCAGTACAAGTCTTGGTCTGGATTCTTTGGCGGAACTCACCCATTACTATCTATATCCTGAAAATTCCTATATCTCTATCTCCAGGCCAACTTCATCCCTTAGTTCTACAGCTCTGCCATCTAACTATTGATTAGACTCTCCACTCAAATGTCCCACTGGCAACTCATACTCAAAATGGTCAAGACTGAACTCAACATCTCTCTTCCCCTGTACTCCTCCACCACTACAAGTCCAGCATCTTCCCTTCTATTTCCCTTCTATTTCTGAAATTACAATCACCATTCTCTAATCACCCAAATCAGAAGAGTCGTCATCATTGTAAGTACAATATGTTTTCCTCATTCCCCCCACACAATCAGTAAATAATTCCTCTCAAGTTTACCTGCTAAGTGTTTTTTGGTGCTGCCTTCTATTCTTATCATTATCTTAGTTACGAGCCTTCCTCATTTTTTATCTAGATTACTGCAATATCCTCTAAGTAGTTTCCCTGTTTCTATATTGCTTTTCCCCTCCAGTCCTTTCTATGTTTGACACCAGAGTGATCTAAAATTCAAATGAAATGAAGTCATACCTCAGTTTATAATGATTTAATGGGTACCATAGCTTTCATGATAAACTCCAAACTCCTTAGTGTGTGTATGAGGTATTTCATGAACTGACTACCTGACCCTTCAATCACATCTGTCATCTAATATATTGATATTCTTGAAGGAAGTAAAATACACCATATTCTCTACACCTTACTGACATGCTAGTATAATACAGAATATCCATTCCTCCCAACTCCCACACTGCTTAATTTTCTCCACTTTCACCATTTAGCTCGGATTTTACCTCCTCTATGAAGTTTTCCCTTACTTTCCCAATGGATTCAGAGACCCTCCAAAAATTGCAGTCCATATTTTATATCTCACTGAATTATTGGTTTATTTGTCTATCTTCCCCATCAGACTCCTTAATGAATGGCAGTGATTCCCAAGGGCTTAATACAGTGCTTGAAATTAGAGTGCAATAAGTAATTACCTGATGAGTGATTGCCATATAATCAGAGACATAAAGAGTACTTCTGGGTTCCTTGTTGCTCAGCATCCTGTTGATAGGCCCACAAAGAGGGCCTTTAATTTAATATGTGTCCTTCAAGAATTTGGCTCCATAAAAGTGACATTTACTATAATTTTGCCCCTAGTGATTATTTAACACCATCTACAGTTTGTAATTAGTTGATTTAAAGTATGATTGAATGGATTGACTCATTGAGTTAACCCACAAGTATAACCAGTAACTTTATGAAAATATTCTTATTGGGTTCCTATCTCAAATAAGGGTCCCTAAATTAGATGATTTGAGATAACTCTGGCAATTTCTTTAAATTTGTTTTTGTTTGTTTGTTTTTGGGTTTTGTGGGGGGTTTTTAAATTTTTTTCCTGCTTTTTCTCCCCAAATCCCTCCAGTACATAGTTGTATATTTTAGTTGTGGGTCCCTCTAGTTGTGACATGTGGGACGCCACCTCAGTGTGGCCTGATGAGTGGTGCCATGTCCACGCCCAGGATCCAAACTGGTGAAACCCTGGGTCACCAAAGCGGAGCGCATGAACTTAACCACTCAGCCACAGAGCTGGCCCCAATAACTCTGGCAATTTCTAATGAGGTCTTTAATGTCAAAGCTTATCACTGATTACTGAGCTAAAAAGTAATAATAGTTATTCTTCAAGTGTTCACTCAGTTTCATGCGCAGTGTATTACAGACCGGTGGTTTTCAACTAGGGGGCAGTTTTGCCCTTCAGGGGACAGTTGGCAATGTCTAGAGACACTTTTGGTTGTCACAACTATTCGAGAGGCGCTACTGGCATCCAGTGTGTAGAATCCAGGAACGTTGCTGAACATCTTACGATGCATAGGACAGACCCCCACAACAAAGAATTGTTCAGCTCCAAATGTCAATGGTGCTGAGGTGCTGAGGTTGAGAAATCCTACTTAACCAACAGGAACATTGTATGATGAGACAGTATTAATCCCATGTTACAATCAAGAAAATAAGACCTTGAGAATTAAGTATTCAAAGTTACTTAGTTAATAAGTGGTGGGACCAGAATTTGAACCCATGCTTGTGAAACCCTAAACTCCTGCTCTCTTCAATATAGTAAGTTGCCTCTACCCAAACTATTTAATAACTATCACTTTTTTAGACATAAGGATAACTGTTGCATATGATTGAATGATGTATTGTGCAGTCATACCTCCCAAAATAAAATACAGAAAAGTTTAAAGTAATTGCAGATCAATTCTTTACAGATGACTATGAGAAATAGTGGACTCTCTACATCTTTTTTTAAAATTTTGATTGGCAATGATATTGTGGTTCTGTCTTTCTGGTTAGTTTTGTTTCTTTCTCAATGACCTAATTTATCAACAAAGTTGTTAACCTGCAAAGCCTGACGCTATTTAACTTTATATACATTTACATGTGTTATCTCTAATTTTCAAAACAACCCTTCAAGGTGGGTGTTATATTCCCCACATTGCAGATAAGGAAACAATATTTTGTTCCAGTGAACTCAATCAGCCTGTGGAAAAGCTTAGGGAAGAACATGTTAAAACAGCTTCTATAGGTTTTAAGTTATCAGTAATTGCCCAAAAATCTTTCAAAAAAACTCAAATAATCTAGATGTATTTTTTTTAAATGAGAATCTATTCGCTCTTTGATAGTCACGCCAGCTATCTCTGTACAAATTTTTTTTTTAGCATGGCCAACTGTAAGCTTCCTTTTTATAGTTTTCCTCCACTAAATCGGAGCAATTGTTAAATGGCAAGCCATTGATTAAACCACGGTTTACATGTATCATTCTCCCTATGAATGAGTAGAACTTTTTATAATTAACGCTAATGGTACTCTTGCTGTAATCAGTACTAGCTTTGAGTCCCAATTTATAGTATTTGCTTAATATACTTTCCCGTTCACATCTTATCATTTTTCCATTAAAGAAAATAATAAATTAACCTCATGCTTAATAAACACAATATACAAGGAACTTCCCGGAATACATGTACTCACCAAAAACTGAGAAAAAAATAGAAATTACATAACACTAATTTCTATGTGTAGATGTTTTTTCTTAGAAAGTATTTCTCATAATTCAGCTCTATTTATTTAGTCACATAATTAAAATGATAAATACAGTCACATGCACATTTACACACACCATGGTGTGCACTATCTCTAAGTTTCCTGGAACAGCACAAGTTTAATTCATCATAAAAATAACACGCACATATACAAACAAATACATATAATACACATATAGTATGTATTATTATTATACATATATAGTATGTATATGTGTGTTTTATATGATTAATTAAAGAAACAACAGCACTACTCAACCAAGAATTTTTTTAAGTATTTGCTTTCAAGCTAGAAAGGAGAATTTTACCTTACATCACCCAGTTTTGAAAAACCCCAAGGATAAAGTTTAAAACAACAATAGGAAAGTTAATAGAAAAGTACATATAAGAGTATTCTAAAATGTTGCTCTTTTTAACCCTAAGAATTCTTTAAAAACACATAAAGTGTGAAGGCTGGGTTTTCCTTGGTCCATTTATACCTCTCCTGTGCCATCTAGTGTTTTTAGGCGATTACAATGAATCCAGAGTGTTAACACTTTTACTATGAATCCAGAGTCTAGAATAACCTGTTAACACTTACAGCTTGTCTGCACAGTCAGCCTCAGGCAAGCAAACAAGTACCTTAAACTTGGGCTGCAAAAGGGTGGTTTTATTGGGTTATGAAAAAATTGCAAATGAATAGGACTTTAATAGCAAAGGAGAAAGCTTTAAAGTTAAGTTCAGGAACTGTGGCTAACAGATGTTGAGAAAATAATGCATAATGGAGCTATTGAGTCTCATTAGATTCATATACAGTATAATAGAAGTAGAATTTTGATCTGAGGCCGCACATCTGGATGGGAGAAAGTAATAGGAAAAGGATAGAGTGAAACAGAACTATCCTTCCTTATTCACAGTCGAACATTTTTGCCTCTCTTGTGGTCTGGCTACTGTACCAGATTCGGTCATAATACCCACCATTAGAAATGGCTGCCATGGCTATTTCATCCCCTCAGAGTAAAATCCTACTTTACTACTTTTATCCAAATGTTCCATTAAATGCACAGGCTTTCTGCATGGAGCCAGGTAGGAATCTTCCCCTGCAAGATATTGGATTTTAATTCGTTCTGTGTGAGATACTGTTTCATCAGACATGAATTTCTCAATATATTAATATATAGAAATATTTCTCAATTCATGCCTGAAATCCCTGATCTGAGCAACAACTCAAATAACTGAACCCAATTTAGATCAGACACCCTTCTTTAAATGGGAATTAAATAGACTGAATAAATGAAACCTAATGAATTGACTCCATCTTGAGTCAGTTTAGGATTTCACACAAAAATATCCCTGGTCTTCATGTTCAGGTCTAATTAAAAGAATACTTAACCAAAATCAGTTAATTGTTCCCAAAGTGGTGAATTATGCTGCTGTTTCTCATTCAAATCTCATTTCAGGTGCTTTTTGAATTTTACAGGAATCTGTATTTCTGTACAGAAAAAGAGAGGAAAGCTGCGCATATCTACTTTTGTTCCTAGGCCTTCGGGGAAGTAGAGTCAAGAGTCATGGATAACCATTAGTAGGAGGAAAGGGAGAGTTAGCTATCACAAATGAGCGATGTAGTTTGTGGAATAAAACTGAGCTTGAAAGTGATTTTTAAACTCTTTCCAAGCATGAGTGGTCAATCACTGCATTGCTGAATTATTAATCTGATAACAGCTATCATTACAGAGCTTTGCGATTGCCAAGTTCTATACTCAGCTTTTTCTTTACGTTATCTCAGCCAATCCTCACAAGTGAAAAGTTAGGAAACTGAGGCTTAGTTAGAAAAGTTCATGTAACTTGCTCAAGGTGACAATAGCCCATAAATGGCAGAGCCCAGATTCATTCCTGAACTGTCAGACACTAAGGTTCATGCTCTAAACCACTACCTCCCCAGTGGTGGAGACACTGTCTGAAAGTCAGCGCCCCTGATGTGCAATTCTTAGGTCAGTGCCTCCCCAATCCTACAAAAAATAAATTCATAAAAGAAAAACAATAGAATTCTACCAGAATTTATGACTATTCTTCTGAGATGCAATGGAGCATCTCATTTTGGGTCAGCCCAGTGTGCTCTCTAGTCTACCACTGTCTTGAGATCACTTTTTGTCAATACCTTCATGATAATAAGCAAAAAGGTTATCACAATGATAGCATCCCAACTCAAACTCAGTTCTCCTTTACAGCAGCACAGACTCCCTTTGCTATCCAGTGAGGTCCTAGACTCACACAAAGGCAGTTCAAGGAAATTCACTGAATAAGGATATCCAGGAAGTAATTCCTAGGCACTAAGGATATCCTGCTGGCATAAATTACAAGCAGATTCCATCTTGGTAGATTGATCCAGGTTTATAACATTAAACAAACCTTTTCAGGTATCACTTGTCTTCACTACTTTCTGTTAGTTCAATAGCCCTTAACGCCAATGCTTAGAATTTCTCTTCTACCTTTCACCCTAAATCCAACACTGGGCCATTTTGCTAAAACAAAATACATTTTTCATCTCTGGAGGAAGAGGGACATTCGCTAGTTGGGTCCCTAAACTGTCCACTTTGGATTCTGATGAAGATTATTCTTCAAACAGACAGGAGCACCCAAGGAAATTCTACTCCTAGAAATCCTGTTTTCTTTCATTGTTATTCTCCTCCCCTCCGTTGTTTTCACCTGTCCCTCTTTTCCCCTACATTTCTTAGCACACAAGCTCCAGCTGGAGGACCATTCTTTCTTGAAGAGTTGGCCACTATATGCCTTTCACCACATTCCTCTTTCAGAGATGCTGCTATGGACTGAATTGTGTCCCCCTAAAATTCATATGTTGAAGCCCTAAACTTACCAGTGTGATGTATTTGAAGACCTTTGGGAGATAATTTGCTTTACATGAGGTCATAAGGGTGGGGTCCTTATAGTGGGATTAGTGCCCTTATAAAAAGAAACACCAGAGAGCTTACCATCTCTCTCTTTCTGCAGCGTGGGGACACAGCAAGAAGATGACTGTCTGAAAGCTAGGAACAGAACACTCACCACAAATTGACCATGTTGGCACTCTGATCCTGGAATTCTAACCTCCAAAACTGTGAGAAAATAAATTTCTGTTGTTTAAGCCACCTTGTCTAAGGTATTTTGCTATGGCAGCCCAAGATGACTAACATACATGTACGATACTCATTAAATATTAAATATACCCACCGTCTGGTTCTGAGAGTCACAGTGTCCACCAATGCACATTTTCAAATAATTAAGATCTGCTTTTATACATTATCAGATAAGCTACGGTCCCATCTGGGATAAATTTCTAGTCCACGATAATTTTGGTGAGGAGGGAAGTTTTGCTAGAAACAGAAGTAACTGGAGAGACTAGAGCAAAGAGGTCACACAAATATCAGTCCAGCAATGTACACAGAATAGGGATAGGGAAAAGTCAAAATCTAAAACCAAAGATTCAAGAGAGAAAGGATGATCAAGAAAGTGAAGTGAGGGGCAGTACTTAGCTCAGGGCTAATCTTCCCCCCCCCAAAAAAAGAAAGTGAAGTGAGTATTGATATATTAGTACTGAAAAACAAGTTTATAGACTTTTGATTCCTTTAACAGTCAACCATCTAACATTCAGCATTCTGAGCAAAGGCTTACTCTTACCATCATAAACCTAGGCAAGCCATCAAGAAAGATCTACTCCTAACCTCCTCAGGGCCCCAACTTTTCATCTGAAGATTCAGAGACTAAACAGAGGAATTATTGAGTTGAGTTCCACAGACTTCTGTGAATTCCATACGCGGAACTCAGGGTGCTATGTATCTTTTGAAATTTTAATAAAAACAATGGATATATGTACTTTTTATTGCACACAAAATTCCATGTAAGCATGTGTGCATATGCATGTGTGCGTGTGTGCATATACACACTTATTATTCTTGGAAAAGAATCTGGAGTTTCCATTAGCTTCTCAAAAAAGGTTCTTTCTCAGAACGTTTAAGAACAAAGATAGAGAACTAGAAAGTGGTCTCATTATATTTAAGGGGGAAATTGCCAAGAAGAAAGCATGTTCCATGATGGGATGTAGAGCAAGGCTCCAAGCCCAGGTGAGAAGAACCAAAAGAGCAAAATAAGGAGATGGGGCTCCTTAAACCTCTGGGTTGGGAGTCTGAACAAAGTTCTCAGAAGCAGGGAACAGGGCGGAATACCAGTCCCTATAACTGGGCCAATGTAGGGAAAAGGAGGGAAGAATTACAGCTAAGGAGGAGCGCAGGACCCAGGGCTCAACCTGGGAACCAAGTTCCAGGCCTGAGGAGACCCTCAGGAGCCCAGCATCCACAGAGGTCCTGCAGATCTGAAGTCTGTGAAGACATATAAATTATAATACCCTCCAGATTGGGCGGGGCAGCTATTATCATTGATAAACTTTCTGCCGAGGGCAACGGAACGAGTGAGCTTAGAGGTGGAGGCTGTAAGAACCGTGGTGGAGGGATGAGGCAAGTTTAGGAAATGAGGTAGAGCTAATTCAATGGAAGTGAAACCTGCAAGACCTCGAGCCTCCGGTTCTTATGCTTTAGTCCTCCTAGGATTTTCTAAGGAATTAACATCCTACTTGATATATCTCAAGCTCATCTGTTTTCCTAGATCTTTATCATCTAGACCTAGCAGCAAATTCCAGGTCTTCAAAGACAAGCCTCAGTGCAGTTGACCAATGACATGGTAATTCTAAAAGAAGTTTAATTAGTGGTATTTAGATAGTCTTTTCCACCTATTAGTGGAAAAGGGCAGAATTTTAATTATATTATAACAAAACCAACATTCTCTTCCAAACAAAAGGAATATCTTTAATTCCAACGGGACAAAAGAAGGAAAAAGTATCCAGCATTTGGCTTTTATGATTCACTTCTCACACTTTTCTGCTTTTAAAATTTTCACTTTATAGATGGACTTCACTACCCTAGATATAAAGGACAGGAGCAAAGAACACAAAGCTTTATTTTGAGTAGCCCAAAGCCCATTAGTCTAAAAGTGTCAATGTTTTATGGTTTTAAGAAACTGTATAAATTGCACTTGTTTGTGTAAGTTCATTTTCCAAATGTGTGAACACAAATGCCTATTGTCTATGAGGAAAGTTCACGCTGAGCTACAAGCGAATCGTACAATGGAGCTCTCAGCGAAGCAGCAGCCTCTGCCAAGCTAGCCATTTTGGTAAGTGGTCCTAAATTTGATACAGGGGCACATAATTTTTTATTGTTTTCCCAGGGGGGAAAAGCTCTTTTTACAGAGTGCAGACCAGTAACGATTTTTTTTTATTCTTGCTGACACAGCTTTTTTTCTCTTTTACACAAAAGAATTTGAAGCTATAATTTTTAACTTCCTTTTGTTAAAACTGCACAGAAGACCTACTAACTTGTGTCCTTAAGCCCTGCCTTATTTTTTACTCTACATATCATTAAAATCTTTCCCCACTCTCTGCTCAGCAGTTTTTCCTTTCTAAGTCAGCATGGTAATTCATCGTTTGTATTCCCAGAGAGCTGCACAGGCAGACCCAGCTCCCACAGTTTTAGCCTATCCTTGGAATTAGTGTGAAGGTTAACTTCTTCTGTCTTCTTAGTCATTTAGTGTTCTTTTAGAACTATTTTAGATACAACGTAGCCTCAGAGAAGCAATTCAAATTGGCAAATAAATCTTCTGAGTACATCCTTCATTAAAAATTAACAGCTAGCACAAGGGATCCTTGCGATGGAACTGTTCTGTATCTTGACTGTGATGGTGATCACACAAATCTGCACATGTAATAAAATTAAATAGACCTAAATACACACACACATACACACAAACGAGTCCATGTAAAACTGATGAATCTAAAGAAGGGTGATGGAGTATATCAATGTCAATGTCCTGGTTATAATATTGCATTATAGTTACGCAAGATGTTACCATTGGGGAAAACCAGGTGAGGGGTATATGGATCTCTCTGTATTGTTTCTTTCTCTTTTTTTTTGGAGGAAGATTAGCCCTGAGCTAACTACTGCCAATCCTCCTCTTTTTGCTGAGGAAGACTGGCCCTGAGCTAACATCCGTGCCCATCTTCCTCTACTTTATACATGGGACGCCTACCACAGCATGGCGTGCCAAGCAGTGCCATGTCCGCACCAGGGATCCAAACTGGCAAACCCCGGCCCGCCAAGAAGCAATACGTACGCACTTAACCGCTGCACCACCAGGCCAGCCCCTGTATCGTTTCTTACAACTGCATGTGAATCTAAAATTGTCTCAAAATAAAAAAGCTTTTAAAAAATCATTAAAAAATTATACATTTTGAGGCGTTTTTAATTTCATCACCTAAAAGAAGTTATTTCTGAAACATTTAAAAGACAATGAAAATGTGCAATATAGCTAATAAAAATTGTCTTTGCTCTGTCCCTCCCCGATGCATGATTATGAATTGCCACTACCAGTAAGAGCAGCCCCAAACCCCTCAGCAGAGCCAGGACATGTCATTTTTAATTTTCTGATTTACAAAAGGTAACCTGGCTTTGATTATGTGCCCGTTTGCCAGCAACAGGATCTCCAGTTGGCTTCTGAGATTTCCAAAGTAGACTCACCAGGCATTTTAATTTCAGCTGTGTATTCAGATGCGCCAGATCACAGCCGTGATGGAAGGGTCCTATGTCAGTGTTGCAGGTGCTACTTCTCAAAAACAGTCACAGAAAAACATCTTAGAAGTGGATGTCTTCCTAAGATATGAAAACAGAGATCTCCTTTAATGTTTTCTCTTGCATTTTTCCAAAACTAATTTTTATGGCCTATATCAAATGAATAGGAGAAATGGATGAATTAAACCAGAAAAATGAAACTGTCATCTAAATTTTCTAGCATTGCAGTTAGATTCCAGTTTAATAGTGTGACATGAAATTGCTTTAAAAATTTTTATATCCTAGTTTCTGCTATCCTGTCTGCACAGTCTCTAAAGCTCTGCAAATTAACAGACACAATCTCACTTAATCTTCAAACTGGAAACACAAAGAAGCTTAGTTTCCTTAAAAGTAATCTCCCGTGCCACAAATCCTGACACCTTTCAAAAGTGGCGTTGTGAAGGGTTGGCTTCAAACTTCTAAACTGATGTTAATCAGACCAGCTCAATCAGAATTGTCTAGGACTTGAAAAAAAATGCAGGCTGTGTATAAATTTTTTACAAAATCATGCATGCCAGAAAACATCAAAGATCGACAAATTCAAGTAAAATAACCAGTACTCGCAGCTGCAGGAGAGCTAGAAATTTTTTCAAATGTAGTTCATAGATAATTTGATCCAAACAGACACCTACACAGAGAACCAATTCTGATATGGGAAGAAAAAGAATGAAGCTGGCATATGGCTATTCGTTTTCTTCAGCAGGGTCTGTTTTGAAACACAATTTTCTTCCAATTGTTTAAAGCAGCCCTATGGTTCCAGAAACAATGATTAATAAAAATGGAGTTCCCAGACCCAGGCTCTGCCCTCTCCATTGAGAATCTGTGAGCCCACCCTGAAGTTGTGTACAAGGGGAAAAACCACAGAAGCAGCTCAAACACTATAAATGTCTAGGATAAAAAGTATCAGTCTAGTAAATCTTCTCTAGATGAACTAATTAGAGGGAAAAGTTACAGAAATTACTAGAAAGTCTAAAATATAGGCTACTTTAAAAGAAGTTATTATTACTTTTACTCATATGAAACTTATACTTACATTTTAGATTAAACCTATATGTATGTGTGGACATATTACAGGAAAGTATATTATACAAGCAATATGAAAAATCCTTAGCCAATTCCTAGCAACTTTTTTGTGGTCATTCTAAACTGCTTAGGCATTGTACCAAATGGCTGATTTAACACTGCAGAATATAGATAAACTAAAAGCATAGTCTGTTTTAAGGGCATGGAGGTGATTTTACACTACCATAACTTTATTCTAAGTATGTTTGTTTCCTTTGTGTCAATGTAAAGCATGCAATAGATAAACTAGAGGAACCATTTTCAAGGAAAAACATGAAAACATTTTGCCTTAAGTAGTTTTAATATTGCTCTCTGCAATTTTGTTTACACTCATAGTTTAGGAAACTGTTTCTTTAATAGAACTTCCTCCTACATAGGAAGCCATTTCCACTCCCACCCCCTCCAAAATTTCAAATTACCATACAGTCTCAACAATTTGTTTTGACTGTGAGCCTAAACAAGACAATAAAGCTGATTTTCCCATCATTTCCATCACCTGGGGCATTAAAGGAACACACTTGGTTTCCTATCCCCCTGAATTAGTTTCCATGCTATTTTCTGAAGTGGTTCAGTGGCTGTTCATGCTAATGCCAAGGGCTGGATCAGCAAAAACTGGCTCATCTCCAGGCTCATTTGGAGAGATGAGCAAAAAGGTGTGGTCAACATCTGCCCACAAGATGGCTCGTTTGGAAAGGGTTAAAGGCAGGCTATCAGTCTCCTGCCACTGTTTCCAGCATTCGCATCAGTCATGGGAAGTGATGTCACACACCTGCAATGCACATGCAAACTGTAAACACTTCACCAACATTGAATTTGAGTCTCCCACCCAAAATCATGCCCAGCTGCCTCACACTGAGTTCCTCAGCTGCCAAACTTGCTTGTCTGCATAGCATCCGGAAAACGGATGGTGTTACACTAACAACAGTTAAGTAGGTTCAAGATTTATACCACCAAGTTGTGCACAGTTTTGTTTTTTGTTGATTACTTCTTGCTGTTTCTAGAATCACAGAGGTGGAATTGGAAGAAACACTAAAGATTATGTAACACAGTGCTCTCATTTTACAAATAATTAAACCATACCTCTACTACAGCTTTTATCAATTATTCCCATATCTTTCTCATCAGACTCAAGGGCAGGGACCAGGATTTGAAGCACCTTTCCATCCCTAGAATTTAATACCTAGCAGATATTCAAGTTTGTTAAATGAATGGAGGGATGAAACAATGGATGGATGGATGGATGGATGGGTGGATGGACGGACGGATGGGTGGATGGGTGGATGGGTGGATGGGTGACTTCTTTGAAAACCATCTCACAGACCTATCCTGGATGAGTAGAAACAGTAGGCTTCAGCAATTTACTCAATTGTTCTAAAACTGAGTTTATTTATCCTTAAAATGGTAATAATAATAGTATCTTCCTCAAAAGATTGTTATGAGGATTCCTTGAGTTAGTGCTTTTCAAAAGTTCCATACAAAGCTAGGCACAAAACAAGAATTCTATAAATACTAGCTTGCTGTTATTTTAATAATGGTAGTGATATAAAATCATCCTCCATTTCTCCTCATTACTATCACTCACCAACCTCTTGGTTCATCCCACATAGATGCCAAAAGCTTTGCCCCCTGACTTGTGGTCTTTCTCTTTTCCTAGATCTACCATCAGTCTGGAGTGAGGTCAACATTCATGTGAACAACTCAACACGCCCTATCTTCACACTTCACTGATATTTTCATCTTCAATACTTGTATTTTTTTCTCTCAGCTATTTATGTCCAATGACCATACACAAATGTTCTCTCTGGAATCAGTCTACCTGAATACTAATGCTAGCTCCATCAGTAGTTATAGCTATGTAATCACTGACACATTTTTAAGCCTCTCTAAAGATTTTTGCTACCTTGTTTACAAAATAGGAATGATAAAGGGACTTACAGTGCTTGATATTTAGTAATATTCAATTACTATTAGCTTTTATTATTATCAGCCAAACTATGCCACCTCTGAAATATTGAACCCAAACAGTAATATGTAACGTTTGGACACTTAAGTTATTCCAACTCTTTTACTATTGTAAATTATCCATAGCAGAAATCATAGCCTGAAAATAAATTAGAAACAAAAAGAAAAAAAGTAAGAAAATACAGAAGTCCTTAAAGATAATAAAATAATTGAAAAATATAATCACTGGGCACCCAAAAAATAATGATGATAACAATAGCAGTTTACATTTATTGAAAATATTTGTAGGGCACTCAGAGCAATACTTGACTGCAAAGTATACCAAAATAAGTATGTTATGTGAATTACGAGTGCCTACCACGTACAGGCACAATTCTAAGTACTTCCCATGATGTGTTTTGCACACACAGATGAGAAAACTGAGGTTTAGAGAAACTCAGTAACTTATCCAAGTTACACGTCTAGTTTATTGCAGAGCTGGGATTCAAACCCACAGACCCAAGGTCACACTGACAGTTCAAACATGGTGTAGTGGGGTTTTGGAGCCAGTCAGTCTGATATCAGAGCCTGTGCTCTTAATTACTTCCTCTCCCTAAATTACTAATGTTCCAAAATACAGTGACAATAGCTTATCTTAAAAAATATATACACACATACATTTATTCAATCAAATTTTTATATCAAACTCTTTCATTCCAACCAATTGGCTTTTGGCTAAATCTTATACTGTTTTCAGCCCCAAGAGCCCTATCCTTCAGGGGTAGTGTTAGCCATCACATGTGAGGCCCTGCCAGGTTTTCCCAGGCTTGCACAGATGGGGACTAGGCCCTCAGTCTCAGCATGTCTTTCCTGTCCTTCAGAATTCTTCACTTCACTGATGATGGATGAAGACTTGTACCTAGACGCAACTGAGTGAGTGTAATGGCAACAAACATTTTTCTGGGTGCCATTCCACCACCACTATGTCAAGCTCATTTTTAATACAAAGATTAGTCTGGTGATACTATGGAAGAACAGGTTTTCCTGCCACCATGGAGTAGAGACTTAGGCTACACATGGTCTAGCTTGTAGATGATCGACTTCAAAGGCATTCCTTCTGGAGTTTCTGGGCAGCAGTGGACTCCAGGTACATCTTTTCTATAGCCATCTGGCACTCATTTTTTAGTTTCACCTCCTGGGTTCTCACCAGGGCCACAAAGTAAAGGAAGCAATAATTCTTCTCTGGCCACCACACTTCCTAAAGTGGAGTCACCTGATAGTTCTACACCCACTCTCAGAACAAAGTAACAGTTTCCTGCCCAGGTCAAATGTCTATTAGCTGAGATGTGTGTTGGGCTCCGGAGTAAGAAGTCAGGTAATATATGAGAAAGGAGGCAGCAACTCAGTAATGCAATTTGTGGTCTTCTGATTTCCTGGAGCAGGAATTTGGGAATTGGGATAAAGGGGCAAAAATAACATTCTTAGCTTGTAGTTCAGCAGAAACCACCAATGATAATCTTACTGAACATATCATCATTCTTTATCAGCTTTTTACTCTATTTCAACACAGCACCATTATAGAGGGAAGATAATTGCTTAAGCAAAACATTTCTTTTTGTTTAAGCTGTCTTCTCAAGGTTTTGCCCAACAATTACAAATTATAAAGAAAAGATGTCTCCTGTATATAACAGAATACTGTCATCTATAGATTAGTTAAAAGAAAATAAACAAAGATTTAGTTTTAAATTCCTAAGTGTACTGCTGAAAATGGCATCAAAGGGATTAAAAAATATTTACATGAATTATTAAATGTTCGGCTTTAGATACATAAGGATGTGCCTTAACTTCTTCACAAATAGAAAGGATTATCAGCACATAGCTTGAATAGCAACAAAATGTCATTGGAAATAAATCACTTTGTCAATGACACCCATATCGTACACTTCCTTACCCCAACTCACTCCTTTCACCTCTCTTACCCATGGATACACATTTCTCCTCTGTATTTGAGGCAGTTTAGGGTGTTTGCCTGAAGTAGACTCTAATACAAAAGCAATAAAAGATAAAGAAGACGGAAAGTAGTAAAAAGTATATATGACTTTCAAGGTAGCATACACTTAGTAAGTCCAGATCTTTGTTCTTCACCACAATATTTCAGTGTATTGAATTGTATTTATAGTGTAATTTTCTTTATTAATATATGAATTTTTGCCATTAACTGGCTCAATATTCTTCATCAATTCTCTCAACCTTTTTGATTTTTGGTTTTCTCACCTGCAAAATAAGATAGTTGCCCCACCTAATCTTGAAAATCACCCAACTCTCTGAGAGATCTTCAACAAATTGATCTTGATTTCACCTTAGTTCAACTTAGTCCAAACTCTATTTGCGTTATTGGAGTCAAGTGCCAAATCAAAATGATCATTTTCATCAGATTGCACAAAAACATCGGAGACCAATAGAATATTAAAACATCAAAGAATTTCTTTCATCAGAATAAGTTTTGCCTCATGGAGAATGATTACCAATAGTTACAAACTAGGATCTGCCAGCTCCCATTCTTTCTGTGTTTGAGGAGCTGCCGAGTTATCACTACCAAACTTGAAACCCAGCTCTGCCCACCGACATTAAAGGCCTGCCCCGAGGCAGCTGAAATACACGAACACAAACACACACACACAGTCCTTCTGCCCTGTCCCTAAACAAATAAAAATTTTTAACAGAGCATGGCACAAAAAATCACACATCAACATCAGTTCCTGACAGTGCTTGCTATATGCCAGCCCAAGGCGGGTAGTCAGGTAGAGGAACTTTTACAAATCCTCTGAGCTGAATGTTCTCCTTTCGGCTCCTCTACCATAGTCACTACTTCTAATTCTTCCTGGTCCACGGATCTGCTCGAGTGCCACACAAAACCACAGAAATGTCTAAAACAAGTGCTGAAAGGAAGGACTGTAAAGTCCCAACTGCACATATGAAAGAAAAAATATGGGCATGAAATTGTCTTCCAAGCATTTAAAATATACTTATCCTCAATTTGTAATATTTGGATTCCAGAGGAATTAAAGACTGTGAATTAAAATAATGCATCAACTAGAGAGCAAAAATGCATCATTTTTGGCTCAGCCTGTTTTCTGTGATGAATCAGAGTTTGTTTTTTCAGTTTAACTCAATTAGGCATAAACATGAAATAGCTCAGAAAAGCAGAAGACAGCAATAGTCTCCTGACTTCTTAACTGTTATTGTGACATACAGCCGCCTCTAACTCTACACAATTATCCGAACCATTTTCAAAAAGTTAATATTCCTACTCAGCTCTTACATGTGAAAAGTTGCTTTTAAGTATCGCGATTTCTAAAATAGTATCTTATAAATTGTGTACATTGATAAGAATTCACATTTATATTAACAAGCAACCAATAGCCAAGTGCCCGCAGGTCTCTCTATTTTGGTTATATTCTAGAGAAGTAAAAACTAACCTTTACCTCTTTAATATTTTATGATCTACATACTCCTCTACTTTCTCCTCCTCACATCCACCTTAATTTCATTTTATCTTCACAGCAATAGGGTAAAGAAAGTTTGTTATTTTCAGTTCATAACTGGAAAAAAAAAAAGCAACTGAGGTTAAGGGAGGTTAAGCAACTTGGTTAAAGTCTCCCCGTTGCTACATGACAGAATTAGTAACCAAACATAGGCCAATACGACTCCAACAAATAGTAGATTACATTGAAACAACCAGTGTCACCTACGAAGCCCCACTACCTAAAAAAATAAAGCTGATCCACCTTCACCAGAACTCCTCCACTCAGACAGACTGCCACTGCCAGGGCTTATATCACAGGATACCTTACTAAATGGCCCCTGAAGTTTCAGACTGAAAACAAATCTAAGGAAACAATATGAGCCATCAGCAACAACCTTGCTTTCCAAAGGAATCTGTGCTGTACAGCAGATCCTGAAAATTTTCATCCATAAGTGTGACATTTGATAGCTCTCAAAACTTTATTTTCATTATTTAAATTTTTTTTCCAAAATCTTGTTTCATTTAATCCAAAGTTTGGAAATAAGATGACACACTTTTCTTAACATCCTACCCTTTAGTCTTTACTCTTTTTTCCTATCTTTATAATACCTATTTTACATTGCTTTATATGTACTAATGATTCAATATCACTAAAAACTATTAGGGTTTTACATAACAGAAAACATCAGTCTCTGAATTTAAACATTTCATTATACAGAAAGGGTAGGAAAGCAAAAAATAAAGACTTTCAGAACCACTAAGTATATTTAATTGGTCCTCTCTAAGCAGCAGTATTAGCCACTAATATTGAGTGCCTATTCTATGCCAGGCACTGTACTCAGTGCTTTATATATCCGATCCCATTTTATTCCAGCTTCAAGCTTTCGAGCTATTACCAAAAATACATTTAAAGAGAAAAGAACAGGGGGCCAGCCGTGCGGCAGAGTTGTTGAGTTTGGTGCCTTCCACTTCAGTGGCCCAGGTCTACAGTTTCCTCAAGCAAAAAAATAAGGGAAATTGGCAACCGATGTTAGCTCAGGGCTAATCTTCCTCAGGAAAATAAATAAATAAATAAAAGGAAAAAAAAAAAAAAACAGATTAAGAAGGATTAAATAACTTGACCAAACTGATACAACTAGTTAGTGACAGGACCGGCTCTCTACTCAAGTCTGTCTGACTTGCAGATTTTATTTATTTAGTTTGCCGAAGTCAGACAAGCCTAAGTTCAAATCCTAGTTCTCTCACTTAAAACAGTGCTCAGACTGTTTGGAAAGGCAATAAATTTACTCTAAAAGGTTTCCTGTAGATGAGAATGAGTGTAACCTGTTCAGAAACACCTACCTGCTGCCTACCTGAAACTGCCTACCTGCTGGAGCAGAGGCTTCTCATTGGAAGGTGCCTGTCCATTTTCTAAGGTGCAGTTAGATTGGGAGAAGATGGTACCAAATTGACTTGAGTGCCAATTTTATAAACCATATGTAGTAAATCACCCTTCAGTATAGCAATTATATAATAGCCAGAAAGAGACAGTTAACACACTCTAAACTGTGCAAACCCCACTAGTAAATCATTTCTGAAAAAATAGCCCATACGTTTCATTCAAACAGCATCCTCTGTAGAGTCACTGAATTGTCAAGGAATCAGTAAAATTATCATCATCAAG